CCGAGGCCTTGGCAAGGGGCGGCATAGAAATGTTTTAATTAATAAATAAATAAATAAATAAAATAACACAAGTCCTGTGAATAAGCATATCATTAGGGCTATGGAAGCCAGGGAGATCCCAAGAAAACCTTCATAGGACAGGAAGGACCTTGGGAGTACATTCATTTTGTTTCCTGTTTATATGCTGATACTCTGGACTTTTGGTGCAATGGTCAGCATCTGGAAAGACAAAAAGAAACATCTCCCTTTCATCCTTAGCAATCTCTCTTCTTTATGTTGAGTCAAGAATTTTCAGAAGGTAACTCTGGGAGTGCAGATCACTTTCCTCCTGGGTCAGTTAAAGCTGCTGAGCTTATTCATTCTCTCATGCCTACAACCCTCATTCAGTGATCCCTGACTAGAATCCAAAGACAGGTATGGGGGATCCCCAGTCCCCAGAGCCTCCATGGGTCCTTTTAGAAGTTTTGCTTACCATCTCCCCCTGGAATAATACACTTTTTCCAAGACAGTTTTTCATTTTAAGCCAGAGGCTCACATCACTGGCTCTGGCTCTTTTGCTGGGCACATGCTCTGCCTATCTGAATGATGTGTGGCAGGTGACCTCCAAGGGACATACCTGCATGGACACTTCCCATTGGTCACTCTGTTGTGTGGCTGAAATGGTGTACTCAGAGAATCAAGGAATTGGAGAACAGGAGAGTTGGCAGGGCCCAGAAGCCATGGGTTCCAAGCCCTTGCTTTTGCAGGACTCTAAGGCACACTATCCCTTTCAATGACTCTCCAAACACCTCCTGATGGCAGTTGGAAAAAACAAAGGAATGGAGCAGAGGAAGAGTGCTAGCATGCAACACAGGCCCAGTGCTTTAACAAGTCAGGTGACGTTGTGATCTATTTATGTGTACGACATGAAGAAAGGCATCATCGCTGCCCGCTCTGTTGGAGAAGTGTTGTTCTCCTCTTCAGCAGCTGGATTTTGCTCCATCATCACCCACCTTCCTGAGTGGAGATGGTTCCTTCTGGGCAGGGAGCACAGTCATAGCAGCAAACAGGGTCCCCTTCCTCAATCACCTTGAAGAAGCCAGGATGGTAGCTTTTCACACACCTGGCATAGGTCAGGGGCTAAACACAAAACCAAGGACCACAAGAAAATATGTTAGAACTATATCATGGGGAGAAGGGAGAGGCGACTTTGGAAAGGACAGGGTGGACTTCTAGTACCAAACATGATCCTGCATCTAGGCTTTTGAAGATCAGCCTGGAATCTCTCCCTACTGTGCTCACTAGACTTCTTTCCCATGCTTGCAAAGTATGCAGAGAATACGCACTAGTCATGGCTACGCTTGTGAAGTTTGGGCTGAAATAGCACTCCTTGTATGCAAAAAAGCAAAGAAGTGGACATCATGTGTACAGAACTCTGTGGCTTGCATGTTGAATTCTCCTTGATTTGCTTCCAGCCGGATGCCCACACAAACAAGTGGTGCAAGCAGATTTCAAGCAGAGAGAATGCAGCCGGGAGTCTAGGAAGCTGATCCAGAGAAATATGATAGATTCTCCATCCAAATGGGAATCCTCATGCATTGCAGCCTCTGAGTAAACCTCAGCCCATACAAATGGATTCAATGCACATCTCATCCCAAATGCATGTATTTGACAGGACATGGAATGAAATGAAGGCATCATTTTCTTCACCTTGTTGAGCCATTTAGGCCACACAATGGCATCTTGGTCAATGGTGCATTTGTGTCCAGACAATCCTAATCTTTCGATGCTGCCAACTTTCACTTTTACAACAGAGCTTTTGGGAAATTTCACCCAGTTGACAATGTCCAAGTCAGCTGCTAGCTCTCCCTTCTCATCCAAATACACTCCATCCATGGAATGGTTGTGAAACTGGGGTCTTCTCAGGAAGGAGTGGAGCTAGAGTGGGAGAAAAAGTGCCAGCACTGAGGAAAGATGACGCCATGCTGGATTGCCCATTCCCCCCTGTTTTGTTCCGTGCTGCTTCCAGATTGCTGTAATTATGCAGACCTGTTCTGGAATGTGGGACAAGGTCTTTTCCTCAGGGAAAGCAAAGCCACACTCTACAGAGGAGTCCCTAAGAAGCACCCATTTGTTAGACTATACAGACTTATCTTCAAGTTTCTTCAACTCTATGCTCACAGTATCTCAATATATCAATACCTTGCCTGAATACCAGTCATTAAATTGTGCAGCTTAATTAAAGCAATCTTTTCAGCACAGAAGGGTAGTCTTGTGAGTGCCATCGATAACTTGAATACAAAATGTGATTCAGGAGACAGGAGAAGTTCATTTTGAAAAGTTCTGACCATGAAAAAGTAGACAGCTTATGTACCCTCCTGAACAAAGTGCTGAGAATCCCGCTACACATGCATCCTGCTACACATGCATCATCAGAAGTTCTGAAATGGAAAAGTGAATACCTGCCATGCCTGAAGCACTTGCAGATCCAGTCTGTCTCCACCCTCAACCCTCATCTTCTTCAATCTGGAGGAAAAAGCAGCATCCAAGGCCTGGGCCACAGCCTGGATGGTGTTGTAGGAGAAGTAGCTGTCCAGAGAGAGCATTCTCTGCCACTAGTCCCTGGGAAGGGCATCCATGTTCCCTTTCTCTCGGCATCTTTTCCATCCTTTCACTGACACCTCCTGCTTTGTATAGGAAGACTCAAATGACTTCTTCGCCAATGCCCTCATAGCAAGGAAAAGGGGTATGAATTCTTCATAGTTTGTGTTTTTATTCGTTTGGAGAATGAAAGAAAAGAGTCCATGGATGTGTTGGAAAAGTAGGTCATTATATTTTAGGCCTTTAGTAAAATCCCACATTGCCGTGGTGATCCATACTTTCCCTACAATGGGTGTTTTTGTTTCCACTGTTTGCTGCACCATATCTATTCCATATAACAAAAAGCTAGCCTCTGCACAATAAAAAAAAACATGGATTTGTGCCAACATCTCCAATGAAGCATAACGGATCATTTTAATATCTGATTTCCAGTCTGAGAAAGAGTATGAAAATACCACACAAATGCCATTCTGGAGGAGCTCAGGTGTCAAGGTTCTCTCGAACAAACTTCCATTATCGGTGTCTAAAGCAAAGAGCCCAACCATTGTCCATTGGAAATGCAGAAGGAGTTTGACGATCCCCAAGTACTGGACCCCTTCTTTGGAGAGTATAAGGTAGAGAAAAGGGAACTGGGCTCGATCACTCAGGACATGAGAAGCAAAAGCATAAATGACCTGGGGAAGAAAGGAAGAAACTGATAGATTAATTGCAGAATTACATTTCATTTCTTCATCTTATCAGGTCATACACCTTAACAAGTAACTATCTGTGTTAAACAACTAGGAAAAACTTCATTTGCACCTTCCTTCCATCCTTCCTTCCAGAAAAATCAAATGGCTAGTCTCATAATGGTAAAATACTGAAAATGGATGTCCCAAAAAGGGTGAACTCAGATGCATCTCCTAAGTTTCCAGAATGGAAGAAAGTTTCCATTGATCATTAGGCAGGTAGACCAGACTGTGTTCCAAGGGGTGAATTAGCAAAGTATACCTATTAGCTTTTTATCCTGCTTTTCTTCTTAAGAAGTCAAAGCAGCTTACATCATTCTCCTCCTGCTTTTCACTATCTTATCCCCAGAACAACAAACCTGTGCATAAACTGGGCTGAGAGTTTGTGACTGGCTGAAAGTCACCTGGTGGCTCCATGGCTGAAAGGGATTAGTTTGCCTGAGTCCCAGGACAACACCCTTATCCCCTACACTATACTGGCTCCCAAAATTTGCCTTGCTCTCCCTCCCTGGTCTCCCCAAGTGGTTCTTAACAGTCTGTTAACAAAGAAGGTGAGATAATGAGCTGTGATGCTGCTTCTCTGATTTGCCTATCAGGTCAGAATGTTTCCTTCAAATTAAACAACATTGGCCTACTGATGTAGAATGGGATGTTCTGTGGTAAGCATGTTGATTTATCCTGGCAAAAACATAAAGTAAAGGTGGAAACACCCAAAAATGTTTTGTCCACACCTGTCCAATTTTGTAAATGCCCAGCAGATTTGAAATTTGGTTGGAGTTCTCAGAGTCTGATTCATCAAGAATGGCCACCAATTGTTGTCTGCCACACTTGTAGTTGGGAACTTGAGCCTGGCCAGTTGAAAGCAGGTCTACAGCTGCATCAAAAGTCAGTCTAACATAGTTGTAGCTGTCATAGATGTCATAACACAGGGTGATGTTGGACAAAAGCATGGGATTCCGGTTGATCTCCTGAATGGCAAACAAGAAGGAGAGGTTCTTCCAGTAAAATGTGGATCCTACACTGAGGAAAAACAGATGTGACATGTCACTCCCTCATTTACAACAGATTTAAATATTCTTCATCTGCTGCCCTGGACATACATGCATACATGTATATCAATATGGGCAAAGTGTTTCTATGGTTTTCCACATACCGTGACAGTTCCCAAGTCAAAATGCCAATGGAAACAGGGGAGCCCTCTGCACTGCTAACCATGCTTTCCTCATGTGGGCTTGTACCTGACAAATGCTGTCATTGTGCGACAGAACAACCCCCATAGCTAGCTGTGCATGCGCTTCGAATTATTGCCTGAACCAGCACAGTGACTTACTCCCACTATCCATTGGAAGCAGGCTTCCTGAAAGTGTATGGAAGAAACTCGGCACTTGTTGCAGAGATGGCCGCAGCAATGATGTGGTCTCCTGGCCTGCAGTGATTTCGGGGGTGGAGCTCATCAGTGTCCCAGCTCCAGGGGCATCTGGCCTTCTGCATCCCAGACTAATTTTGGAATCCAGCACCACTGTGCAGTCATCACACCTTAAAATGGGATGGATGCAAGGAACAGTGGTTAATGACTGTTCCCTTTGCTTTGTCAAGATGCAGGATGTCGTGTGAAGTTGTCGGATGATCATGCTTGGGAGAGTCAGAGGGAAGGGGAATAGCATGTTTAATCATCAGAATTGAGTGAGCGGCATGCATGAATACTCACAATCATGTTTTTCTCCAGTGGTGTACTTGTGCAAAGAACAGCTGGGGGAGAACAGGAACTTGCAGAGGTATCCTAACTTCGTGAACTTACAATTATGGAAATCATAATGCTTTAGAGGAATACTTGCTAAAGCTCTTGGGATCCCCTCCCTGAAAGCACCATCCTTGAGTCCAGCATTGTAAACATGGGAGTTGAGTGCTACAGAAGGTGCCACCTTGCATCCAGGAGCAAAAAGGAAGGCACAAAAAGGCATCCTGCACCACTGAGAGCTTGGGAGAGGCTTCAGAGCAGGCCACAAGGCCTTGGTGCAGGTGACTTCTGCTCATTCCCCAAACAGAATGCTTCAGCCTGGGCTCCATCTCTGTCTGGAGAGCTGCTGAAGCCTCACACTGTAACTGGACTTAGGTTGCTACTGCTGCTTCTCCTCATTCCTCGGAGGAAAAACAAGAAGTCCAATCCTAGCAGAGCCAGAATGATGCTCCTCTTCCTGCTGCTGCTGCTGCTTCTCCCAGAGGCCTCCTGTGAGATGTTGAAGGCCAGATGCCCCTGGAGCTGGCACAGGCATGAGATTCACCCCCGGAATCACTACAGGACTGGGGACTACATCATTGCTGCAGCCATCTCAGCAGTACGTTCCATTTCTCTTCCGTACACTTTCAGGAAGCCTGCCTCTAATGGACAAGCTGTGTAAGTCACTGAGCTGCTTCACGTGATAAAGACAAAAAGCATGGACAGCTAGGTATGTGGGTTATTTAGTTACACAAAGCCAGCATTTGCCAGGAACAAGCCAGCATGAACAAAACTTGGTTAGCAATGCAGAGGACTACTCCCTTTCTATTGGCATTTTTACATGGGACCTGTGTCAGTATGGGAAAAGCCATTAATACACTGTGCCCACATACATATGAGAAAGCAGAGAACACTTAATTTTTTTGTATTTTGGGTGCTGAAATGACCAATCTACTTTTTTCCCCCCAGTTTAGGATCCACAGATTATTGGAAGATCCTCTCCTTCTCATTTGCCATTGAGGAGATCAACCAGAATCCCACGCTTCTGCGCAACATCACCCTGGGCTATAACATCTATGACAGCTATAGCAATACGAGAGTAACTTCTGATGCAGTCATAGACCTTCTTTCGGCCAGTCAGGTCCATGTTCCTAACTACAAGTGTGGCAGATGGCAGCAGCTGATGGCTGTCCTTGAGAAATCAGACCCTGAAAATTCCAAGCAAATTTCAAATCTTTTGGGCATCTACAAAATTGGACAGGTGAGGGGGAAACACTTTCAGGTGCTATCTGCCTTTAACTGACATTTTTGCCAGGCCAAATTAATGTGTTTTCCAAAGAAACTCAGTGGGTGTTTTGCATGCCATGATGATGTCCAGATCAAGGGGTCCAAGGGGTCCAAGGGGTCCAAAGACAGAAGAAGGAAAAGGAAGGCGAGATAAGAGATAGATGGAGTCCACAGAGAAAGCCACTGAACTTGGAAGAGCTGAGCAAGGCTGTCATGGACAGGACACTTGGAAGGACTTTCATTCAGGGGATTCCCAGAAGACAGAGATGACTTGATGGCACATAAGAGCAACACACCAAGAATGTGTTGCAATGAATTTACCATTGCCATTCATCACACAAGCATACCGTTCTACATCATTAGACCCAACTTGTCTGTTCTGCAGAAAAATTCTTACATGATAGGCCTTCTATATTCACAGAGCTCAGAGAAATGAGGACCACTTGGGGACAACACAAAGGGAAAGAAGGCAGCAACTTCTGGGAACCAGTGAGATGTAGTGGTAAAGAGCATGGGCCTAGGACTCAGGTGATCTGAGTTCTCTTCCCCACTTGGCCAAGGAGCCAGCTGGGTGATTTTGGACCAGTCACAGACTCAAAGCCCAACCTATCTCACAAGCTTGTTGTGGGGATAAGAATGAAAGCAGCAGGAATAGAATAATGGAACCCACTTCAACTTCCCAAGAAAAAAAGCAAGATATGAAGCTAGTAAATAAGCTTTGTTAGTCCATCCCTTTAAGTAGAGCACAGGCCTACTGCTGGAAAAGTGGAAAGATCATTGGGAACTTCCTTCCACTGTCTGAATTTTATAGATGCACCTGAATTCAACCTATTTGGGACTTCTATTTTTATTCTTAGACTTATGAGTGCTAAACAATTGATTGTATAAAAAGGATGGAGGGAAGGAAAGAAGGATTTTTTTTCTTTTGGAATGGTTCACACAAATAAAAGTGTTTATGTGTAGTTAAAGTTAGTATGTGTAGCCTTATGTGATGTAGAAAAGAAATGTGATTCTGCAAATAGTCTATCAGTCTCTTCTTTTCTTCCCCAGGTTACTTATGCTTCTCACGTCCTGAGTGATCAAGCCCAGTTCCCTTTTCTTTACCACATGCTCCCCAAAGAAGGAGTCCAGTACGAGGGGATCATCAAACTCCTCCTGCATTTCCGATGGATGATGGTTGGGGTCTTTGCTTTCGACACTGATAATGGAAATATGTTCTTGAGAACCTTGACACCTGAACTCCTCAGGAATGACATTTGTGTCTCTTTTTCATACTCGTTCTCAGAACTGAGATCAACATTTGTAGAGCTCCGTCACAGCTCATTTGAGAAGTTGGAACAAATCCATGTATTTATTTATAGTGCAGAGACTAGTTCATTTCTACATGCAATTCGTCTTGTGACAGTAGCACTGCAAATGATAAATCACATCGTAGGGAAAGTCTGGATCACCACAGCTATGTGGGATTTTACTGTGGAGTTAACATATCATACTCTACCTTTCCAACACATCCATGGATTGTTTTCCTTCATTCTTGAAATGAATAAAAAGACAAACTATGAAGAGCTTACAGACTTTTTCCTTGCTATGGAGGTATTTATGAAAAAGTCATTTAAATGTTCCTTTGCAAACCATGGAGTGTCTGTCAAAGGGTGGAAAAGATGCAAGGAGAACAGGAAAGAGAAGGCCTGGCCCAGACATGTGGTGCAGCGAGTGCTCTCTCTGGACAGCTACTTCTCCTTCAACACCATCCAGGCTGTGGCCCAGGCCTTGGATGCTGCCGTTTCCTCCAGATTCAAGAAGAGGAGGGTTGAGGGTGGACACAGGTTGGATGGGATAAGGCTTCAGCCATGGCAGGTATTCTCTATTCCATTTTGGACCTTTCTGACAGACATAAGAATTGGACAAGTGCAGAGATGAAGAGAAACTGAGGCAAGAAGTTGTATACTCACGAGAGTATTCCTACCATTTGGAATATTGTCGGTATGGATCAGTTTGTTTCTCCATTTCCCTGTATTCAAGGGATGCTGTCCACCTGCAGGGACCCCCACACTTGCCACAAGGCAACCTGAATGAGACCACCCTAGCAGGGTGAAGAGTCATAGGGGTCTTTGCTCAGATCCATTTAGCCAAGGGATTAATTTGGCTTGGACAACATAACACAATCAAAAGGGTGGTGTGTGGCTAATGTTTGAATTGTGGAATCCTCTTGAAATGTTGGTTGTCTGAAACTTTGTTACATATTAAAGCATAATGAAGAAGGGGTAGTGTTTCTTCATGGGTTATCTCTGTTGCGTCCTGACAAGATGATGATCCCTGATAACACTGGTCTACAAGGAGAAAGCCTCGGAAATGGAAGTAGCTAAATTTTACCAGAATTGAGTCACTAATAAAGGAAAATTAAGTTCTGAGTATTAATTGGCTCGTTTCCAAGATGCAGCTTCAGGTCAATATTGCATCAAAATGATTCTAAATTATGATTATATGTGATTATGTGTGATTATGTTGCATAATTTTTCTTCAAAATGCGATATAGCCATGAGAATGGTGCCACACCAGTCATTATAAATTTATCTTTTTATTGTTACCAACAATGTAACTTTCCATTCATTCATTGGTTTGTCATGTAACATTTTCATGCTTTTTGCATGAAAAACTGACAAGCTTTATTATCATCTGAGTCTAGAGAGTAGGCTTCTGGTGGATCCGGAATTGGCAAGTCCTCACATGGGGTACAGGATGCAGTGTGGATGGAACGTTTGGATATTCCATGGTCAACTTTCTTCAGATCCCTTTAGCAACTGGGGGAACCAATACTATTATTGGTGAGTTCCCTTCATGCCCTTGGGACTGAGAAAGGCATGGATTTTTTCTTCTTATTTAGCCAATGATGCAGATCAGTTGCACATATAATGTAACAGTAATGAGGGGCCCAACTCTTGTCCTGATCCCCGATTTTGCATCCAGAATATAGGTGGCATGCCTTTATGATCACTGTCATCGTACTGCACTTTTGAGGTGCAAATGTAACCTCACCACGAATGCAGCAGAAGTTATCTGCATTGTTTACATGGTTTCAAGGCATCTTGCCTTCTGAGGGAAAATATCACACAACTGTTCCCTGGAGATGTTAGGCAATGACACTTTCACAAGCCACCAGATGTAACTGTATGATGTGTAGATCTGACCAAGACAAATGTACCTTGCAATGAGAGAACAATAAAGCACAGTAAAGTAACAATCTTTAGTCACAAAGTGAAGAATTTTTTTTACACTTTCGCATGGTTCCATTTTCATTGTTCTACCGTACTTTGTCGAGAAGTTATGAGGTATCATGATCATCAGACAACTCCCTCCCTTGTAGGCAAATGCACTTGCCTGTGTTTAAATCTTTATTGTGAAATATCTTGAACACTTTATCCAACAAGCATCTTTATCTTCTGTTCTCTAATTCATCTAATCAAAGTATGTAAGAATTAGCACTTTTTATCTCAAAGGTTAATAATTTACAAAAATGTGTAGACCAGTGTAATCCATGATTCAGCAATAGCCCACAGTGCAGTGACAATCTACACTAAACTGCTACTCTGCCTCTGAGTGTTGGTTGTCCTATCCTCTGATATTGCATGTAGTCAAGGATGCTCATCTAGTAGTCCAGGAGGGATCCAGAGCTGCCTACTTGCTCATGATCAGAACTTTTCATTGTTCAAGCTGTACTTCTCCCACCTCCTGAATCACATTTTGTACTAAAGTTATCAGCGGCATTCAGCAGACAACCAATCTGTGCTGAAAAATTTCCTTTAATTCAGTAGCACAGTTCCATGCCTCTGGCAAGGTAGTCAGATAATAGGGCATATTTGACATTTCCAGTAGAATATGCTGTGAACCTAAAGTTGAAGGAACTCACAGGAACTGTACAGCATGACCACTGCATGCTTCTTAAAGAATGCTGAGACTGGCCCGCTATCCCTGAGGATATGACCTGGCCTACATTCCAGAACAGGTTTGCATTTTCAGAGAACAAGTCATCTTCTTCCCAAATTCCTAATGAAAACCAAGGGTATTCAGGGATGTATTCAGGGCACTTATATCTTGGAAAAGACACACCACCCACCTCAATCTAAGTTAAAAGGGCAAAACCGGAGAAACCAGCATGGCTTCATCTTTCATGAGGGCTAGTGCTTTTTCTCACATTCTAGCTCCACCCCTTCCTGAAAAGCCCCCAGTTTCACAATCGTTCCATGGACGGAGTATATTTGGATGAGAAGGGGGACCTGACAGCTGACCTGGACATTGTCAACTGGGTGAAGTTTCCCAACAGCTCTGTTGTAAGAGTGAAAGTTGGAAGTATAGAAAGGCAAGAGTTGTCTGGACGCAAATGCACCATTGACCAAGACGCCTTCATATGGCTCAACAAGGTGAAGGAAACCATGCCTTTATTTCTTTCCATGTCCTGTCAAATGTGTGTATTTGGGAATGGATGTGCACTGGGATCATTTGCATGGGCTGAGGTTTACTTAGAGGAAGCAATGTGAGAGGAATTCCATTTGGGAAGTGCAATCCTTCAGATTTCTCTGATTTGGCATCCCACATTCCAGCACACTTTCTCTATGCCCTAAATCTTACTTGCAACAATTGTTTGCGTGATCCTCTGTAAGGAAGCACATCCAAAGGAACTCAGGAGGCCAGCCGCATGCTTCTTTCCATACTTCCCAAGCATGGGAATGGAGTCAAGTGAGCAGAAGAGAATGACATTTCATCCCAATCTTCACAACCTTAGTTGCAGTATCAGATTCAATCCTAGAATGCCACACATGTCCACTCTCATGCTGCCTCTCCTTTCCCCAAGTGAAGTAGCTCTAATACATCTTCCTGGTGGTCCTTGCTTTTGTGCTCAGTCCCTGCCCATGGCCAGGTGTGTGGAAAGCTGCCTCCCAGGATTCTTCAAGGTGGTCCAGGAAGGAAAGCCCATTTGCTGCTATGACTGCACTCCATGCCCGGAAGGGACCATCTCCACTCAGGAAGGTGGGTGTTGTGCATGAAGACCCGACAGAAACAGTGAATCATGAGGAGACCTTGCACTTGACGCCCTTCACCCAAGAGTCACCCCCACAACCCAATAGAGGAGCAGCTGAACCAGCTATTGCGTCTTCCCCTGAGCCCCAGCTCATTGAGCAAATGCCTGGACCTTTATCAGAGAGAGAGAGTCATGAGAAAGAGGCAGAGCAAACTGCTTCCTCCCGTCCTGACACTGATCTCCCAGAGCCAGAGACAGAAGACACTATAGGTGTCAAAGCTGAAAACAGATGTCTTTTACGCAGATTTGAACAAATACAAAGCAGGCAGTGTAAGAGAGAGGAAAGGCATGACTTGGGAGAATGATCCCACGTGGGCTCAGAAAGAGAAGCCATTATAGAACTGACATCTGCTCTGCAGGGACCACTATTAGGGAGCTTAGCTATAGTATCGTAAATCTTGTAGACAATTAACATTAAAGGACTTTAGTTTTATTGCTCTGTGGAGAGCTGAATGTTTATACAACCCTTTCTCAAGAGTTGGTTATGATGGAGGAACATCCAGCCCCTGCAGAGGAGGGCTACAATCCTCCAAAAGAGTGGGCATTCTGGCACATCTTGGTAAGGAATGGTGCATCCTCCAGAGAACCCTACTCAGTGCAGAGGACTGTACTCAGACCCTAGTCTCAAATAAAAAATTGGCTTTGGAAATGGGGAAAATTCCAGAGGAAGATGGCAGAGCAATACTCCTAAAGGATCCTGGAGTGACTGGAGGACCAGGGATTCCCCATACCCATCTTTGGATTCACAGAATGTGGGCTCTTGGCATGGGAGAATGAAGACACCCAGGAAATATGCAGGAAAGCAGTGTGTACTTCCAAGGTTACCTGCTTAAGATCATTGACTGAGCATAAAGAACACAAGATGGCTAAGAATGAAAGGGACATGTTTCTTTTTCTCTTTCCAGATGCTGACCATTGCACCAAGTGTTCAGACGATCAGCATCCGAACAGGAACCGAACTCAATGTACCCACAAGATGATCACCTTCCTGTCCTATGGAGATTCTCTTGGGATTATCCTGGTTTCCATGGCCCTGGTGCTATCCTTATTCACAGGACTTGTGTTGGGAATCTTCATTAAATTCCAAGACACCCCAGTGGTCAAAGCCAACAACCGCAGCCTCTCCTACATTCTTCTGGTCGCCCTCCTGCTTTCCTTCTCCTCCTCCTTCCTCTTCATCAGCCAACCCAGCAAGGTGACCTGCCTTCTCCGACAAACAGTCTTCAGCATCATCTTCTCAGTTGCTGTCTCTTCTCTCTTAGCCAAAACCATCACTGTGGTCTTGGCCTTCTTGGCCACCAAGCCAGGCAACAGGGCAAGAAACTGGTTGGGGAAGAGGTTGGCCAACTCCATTGTCCTTTTCTATTCCGGCATCCAAAGTGTGATCTGCTGCATCTGGCTGGGAACTTCTCATCCCTTCCCTGACAAGGATATGAACTCCCAGCCTGGACACATCATCCTACAATGCAACGAAGGCTCTTTGGCAATGTTCTACAGTGCCCTTGGCTACTTGGGCTTCATGGCTACCATTTGCTTTATAGTGGCTTTCCTGGCCAGGAAGCTTCCCGGGGCCTTCAACGAGGCCAAGCTGATCACTTTCAGCATGCTGGTCTTCTGCAGTGTCTGGGTGTCTTTTGTGCCCTCCTACCTGAGCACCAAGGGGAAATTCATGGTGGCTGTGCAGGTCTTCTCCATCTTGGCCTCCAGTGCTGGCTTACTGGGCTGCATCTTTCTTCCCAAGTGCTACATCATTATTCTGAGGCCTGCTCTGAATACAAAGGAGAATCTTGTGAGGAAAACAAAAGATGGTATTGTGACCTAGCCAGCTGTTGCAGGGGGTGGGAGGAGAACCAGCATCCCCGCAATTTGAATATCTAGCATTTGTTCAAATGCATGCAAAAAATGAAATAGTCTCACAGTCTGCTTGTAATTCAAGGAACAGAAGGCGGGGAGCACAGGAATGCATCCTTTATATTCCACTTCTTATTCAACATATCCCTTTTCCAAAGGTTGGCTGACCTTTCTCAGGTGAGGACAAAGTGATGCACTTTTTGAATCAATGATCCCCTTCTCAAAGTGCATCAAATGCTGTGAATCAGACCTTTTGTGGACAGATTTTGAGTTTACAGGTTTTTGGATTTCCACTTCCAATTTTCCTTCATCACCAGTACGGTAGTTGGATTTTTACAGAATACTAATAGGATAATGGTATTCTGTAAAAATCTAATGTTTTGATTGCGACTGAAGCATGATGGAGCAGAATGATTTCACCAGTGTAGAAAAAGTGAGCAAAGTTGCGATGTGAGAGGAATGTTGGCAGACATCTTCAGCAGGGGTGGCAGTATCTGCTGTACCTTTCATTATGCTTCTTATGTTTGTTGTGGACTTCTGAGGTGCCTGCTTTCAGGCAACACATTATACCACAGGAATAGAGTTTAAGGAATCCAGTTGCAAAGGCCTCCTTTGGAGTTTTACACCACAAATAAAGGGAATTGTACTCACATGTGATCAAGGCAGGTTACAAGCAGTACCCACCCAAACTAAGCAGAATTCTACCTTCTCTACCAGTGTTTAAACATGCTTTTCCCCCTCCCTCTGATCCTCCCAAGCGTGATCATCTGGCAACTTCACACAAGATCCTGGATGTCTACACAGCAAAGAGAACGGTCATAAACCTATTCTCTTTGCATCCAGCCCTTTTTGCTGGGGTAATGACTGCACAGTGGTGCTGGATTCCAAAATTAGTCCCTGGAGAAGTTGAAGCTTCCATGCTGGTTTGAAGCCGGAAAGCACCTGCCACACACAATTACCAACAGGTAGCTGTATTATCTTCTTATGCAAGTGTTACATAAGAAGTGAATGCCATTCAGAGGTCAGAAGGGAGAACAATGTGAAATGGAACACCCTCTCTGCATTGCTGGTGTGCCTTCCGAATGGTGACTTCTGGACAACTTTGCCAGTGCCTGATAATTCACTTCTCTTCCCATGCTCAGGATGACAAGAAGCAGTTCCATTCATGGTTTGGAACATGTGGCACACTTGCATGCAGTCTTGCCATGGAGCAATGTGGTAGCAAATTTCACATTCAGGGCACTACCACTGCAACGGCCCTTGCCCAGGTAGCCAGATTTCTAGCCTATTTCAAAGGGGGCTCCCAGAGAAGAACCTCAGCAGAAGATCTTACAATATGGGCAGGTGTATATGGGAGGAGATACTTCAGTTATGCAGGCCCTAGATGTTCAATGATTCGTGTGTGTTCAGAATCCATTTGTTAACACTAATGCCATGCCAATGGGGAACCTCTGGCCCACAAGGCTTTCTGATTACATTGAAAGAGCCGTTGCCTAGCTTCCTCTGTTAGGAAGATGTCCTGCTCAGCCTGAGATTGGAGATCACACTACTGTCGGAAAAATCCAAATAAATCTTTAGTGAAAAAGACTGCTTATATGGCTCTTTATCATGTTAAACTAGACCCTGCAGTGTCCCTCTTCCTCTTGCCCAGAATGAACCAGAACTTTTAGATAGGCTCCTTTTTCCTGGGAAAAGGAGGCAGTGCCAGAGGCTTCATTATTCATCTGTTCCTTTTGGAGACTGAGGCACACCTCCCCCTAGTGCAGCTGCTAAAACTTTGCAAAAGTTACTCCTCTCTGGTATGCAGGTGAGTGTTGCTTTTTATCAGCTCTTGTAACTTCTTACTTTGCTGGGCTTTCACATTACGCTTCCTTGAAACTTTGTATCCTGTCCACTGCTGGGCTGCTGTGAACAGCCCTGACTTGATTTTCCTGTTCTTATAAAATCGCCTGTTCTTGGAGGTCAACACTCACACTTAGGATCCATTAGGATTCCTGTGCCATACTATTTGCCATGTCAATACTCATCTGATCACTGATACTTAGCATTAAGTCATATCCCCTCTGCAGTTAACTCATATTGTTCTGTTCATGCCTGCATTGCCTCTTGAAATGTACCTATGCTTCCCTCATCATCAGCTCCACTTCTGTGTACATGACTTGCCACCAATAAAACATTCTATATATGCTCAGGGAAATTGTAGTTGGTGGGTGTACCTCTACCAGGCAGCGCTGCTGTAGTTTTGTCTGTGTAGAGCAGTTTTCCTGGGTGTTCCCCCCAATACAACTGCTGAGGTTCATAACATAGGCGTCTCTGAGGTTCAAGGCAAAGTCATCACCCTTGTGGATCCAATCATACATTCTCCCGGACTGTTAAAGCAGGAATTCCTGACACTTCCCAAAGCTCTTCAGTGGGCTTCCAAATACTTCTAATGCTACACAGGAGAGAAGGGTGACTAGGGAAACCAAACCCAATGCCAAGGGCCTTTCTCTACCACCACTTTTGGACCCCACCCTGAAGTGCTCTGCACTCAGAGATCTTCTCAGGTGGAGCAGAGTGTGTACACTTGTGTAGTGTTTTCCAGGGAAATCCTGCAAGCCTGTGACTTTATTTCAGCCAAAGCACATACAGTACTCTTCATGTGGCCAGGACATCTGCCATGAGCATGTAGCACTTACTGCATGAGAGTATCCAGCTTCTGCTGAGAATTTGGCTGGAGCTCACTCTACCCCTGCTTCATTTGGGATTGTTCTATCATTCACTGGAGAAGACAATCATGCTAGGGAAATTAGAAGACAGAGAAGGAGGTGGAAGACCAAATACTCTTGAAGGACAGATGCCCTCCTTGCTGCCATACGTTCTGCTGAAGAATGCTGGGCCTTCTTGTACTTTGATGCTATGATCAGTGTAGCATCTGTGTGGTTAGATTGCTGGGGAAATTCAAGTAAATCATAAAGGGAAAAAGAAGGGACTCTGTGTATGTGTGTGCATGTGTGTGTGTGTGTGTGTGCGCGCGCGCACATGCGCGCACAGTCCCAAGAAAGAACTAGAAGCTCTGTGGCCAACCTCCCTCTCCCAAGAAAGAGAAAACCATTCAGCAATAGGAAACACCAGCATTGCATTTCACTCCCATCAGTTCAGTGATCCTGGCTCTCCACTAGCATCCATGTGGGCAAGCTGCTGTAATTGCATCAAGTTAATTGCTTGCTGGAGCACAGTACATGCATTTCTTGTTAGTGCGAATGTCAAAACAGATACCATGTATCAAAACTCTGCTTCTGGCCACAGAAAAATGCCTGGACTTCTTTCTCCCATTCTGTTGCTATTGCCTGCACTCATATGTAAATTCCCAATCCCAAGACTGATTGCCATGTCAATCCTCTGTAATCACTGGTATTTACTGTACTATTCTGTCAAGTCCTCGCCACAGCTTCTCATATTGCTTTTATTCATGAATACATTATCTGTTGGTGTGTAGCTATTCTTCTCTCATCATCACCTCTGTTCCTGTGTACGTGACTAGGTGCCTATAAAACACTCTGTATCTGTTTTGTAGTGGGTTGGCATACCTCTCCCCAGCAGTGCATATGTAAGGTTTGTCTCTTCAGGGGGGTTTCCTGGGTGTTCTCCCCAATAAATCTGCCGAGCTTCATGACAAGGATGTCTCCCTGTGGATCTGAGTGTACATTCTAGCAGCTGCTAATCCAGGATTCCCTGGCAATAGCTGAGAGAAGCCTTGTTATTTTCATCTTTGAGCAGGCCAATAAGGCCAGGGGTCTAGGATTGGGAACATTCTTTTGTTGTATTGTGGCTGATCTCCCAGTCCTCACTCTCTCCCCTCCTTATTTGTTGGGATATTACCTTGGATGTGCTTTAGCATGGGGTGGTCTTTGCCCTTAACATAACAACTTCTTGGCTGTTATGCTGAAGATACCTGACTGCAACCAGGTTGCATTAGGCACGTACTCCGTGCTCAAGTACCATTAGTGCATACTCATGTATTTAAGTGGGAAACACAAGACAGGAAGGAGGGGAGGAGGAAGGAAGATAAGCTAGATGCAAGCCAAATTCAGGACAGTCACATCCCCTGGAAGAAGGATGGTGGTCACCCGCTACAGCTCTCAAGGAGGATCACTTGATGCAGGGGACTGAGAAGTCTGGTCTATTGACCAGGCTGCATGGGCTTTGGGAGTTACCTGCATCTGATAGTTTGGGGCAAAGTGACCTTGTGAAAGAGAGATGGGCTCTGCTCTACTCAACTGGAAACTCAACCATTGCAGAGCAGCTTTGAAAGCCAAACCAGGGGACAGCCAACCCAAGCTGAGTGGAGCTGGGAAGCATGGAGAGGAGAATGTTTCTGGTTTCCATAATGTAAACGCAAAGGAACTATTCCATATGCATGTGGTGAAACATGAGAGGCAAAGTGTTTCCCAGAGGTGAATGCAAGCAAAGTCCGCTCCCAGCACCCACCATCTCATCCACAACTTCTGCCAAACCTTCCGGGGCATATGCGGCAGACAAACTGTTTCAGTGGGGCTCACAACTCAGAAAAGGGGGACCAGATGTGTGCAATGGAGGCTTTCTCTCCTGGTAGGACTGACAGCTCAGATTATGATAACAGGATGATCACTGAAAGAACCGTTCCAGCTCCATACTGGCCTATGTCTGCCCGGAGGAGATGAGTTCAAGGGCAGCCAAAGGGCCCAGTCAACACACCTGTGGAAATGGGGATGACGAATATTATCTCAAGGGAGGAGATTTGGGATGGGGAGTCTATCTGAAGGGGAACCAACACATGTTGCATGTAAAGTAATAAAATTTGGCAAACTGTTGGTGAAACTATTTCTGCTGGGAGGGAGAATCACAGCTCAGGACAGTAGAAAACTAGGTTTGTGACAATTCATGTCCCAGTCCAACTCAGGTCCCGGTCCAACTCAGTAACCACCATGAGGCAATAGAAAGACTCTCACC